TTTTGAAAGCACATAAAAAGCCCAAAAAATAAACCCAGATAAGTAGTAAAAATGCTTCATTGAATGAATAATTTTCTAAGTTACGGTTAACTTAGCAAAGTCTTAATTATTTACCAAATGGTCGGAGCCCAAAAAAAAAAACGAAAAGTTTCCGAAAATAGCACACAATTAGCACAATAATACGAACGAGTTTTTTCATCATTTTTTCATTTCAACGCCGCAACTTGATTGAGCTTGATGAGCAGAGCAGCTGATTGTCGGTGGTGTGCTCCCAATTTCGGTAAGACTAAATTAGGGGTATTCGCGCCAAAACGATACCCACCATAAGTAAAGAAAATAGGAGGAAAAGATGACGTAGAAAAACCACATTAGAGGCGTCCCCTTTTTCTGTTATCGCGGCACATTCTTTTCTTCTCCGTCGTATAATGGCAGTGTGAAAGAAAGTCCTCGATAACTTCCAAGTAATTTTGTTAGAGTTCGTGAGAGTAATTTTAGCGTGACGTCATCGTAGAGTTGACAACTGAGAGTGGCGAGAATGAGGGCGACTAGTGATGTGCTGAATTGTCCCCAATACTCGGTACCCAATACTTAAAAAAGATTTCGGTCCCCTATACTTCCTTTTCGGTATCCGATACCGATTATTTACATTAAACCCTCGCCATTATATGCATTTCAGGTTTAGAAAAAACTTGCATTACTAATTTATATGATATCGGCTAAAACACTTGAACTTATCGCCACAGAAAAATATTATTTTATCAGTTTTAACCTTAGTCGATCCAAGGTTCAAGAAAAATTTTTTGACGGATGAAGAAACTTTTCAGGGGGGAGATCTAACCAGTAAGCGACAAGTTTCGGTTCGATATCGTACTTGTTGGCGTAACAATATTTCATATAATAGGTCAACAAACCCGATACCGATTCGAAAATTGTCGCTAACTGGTTCTAGAATCTGCCCCTAGGCCTCCAAAAATGATATTGTCCGATTCAGCTGGAACAAAAATGCTTCAAACAAGTGAGAGTTTCTCTGCGTTATGGCCTGGAACCGACATATATACATCTTTCATTTGAATCAGTATTAAAAGCTCTATTGGCTCTATTGGCGAGTCTCCCCTGAGCCGTTTTTTCCATATCTTTGGCCTGTATGCGCTTTTATTTGAAATCTAAATGTTTTGGTACCGAGTATCGAGAGTATTGGATACATTTTGAATCGTTACCGAATATCGATCAATACTTGAAAGTATTGACTGAGCACATCACTACTGCTGTCTTCTCTACTATGACGTCACCAAAACAGCTGATTCTGTCAAAATCACTGAGATTTTTGCTTTCTGCATTCCATACAGAATATTCGATAGTTGCAGTTGCATCAATACTGCCCAGATGTTGAGTTTAAGAGTTCCTTTCGTTATTGAATGTATCTTTCAATTATTTTATGAACTTGATTAATCGTTTTATATCTTCACGTGTATCCGTCCTACCTTACCTTGTAAGTAAAAGACAACGTGAATTGCGTAACTGTATTTTAATTACGTTTGTTCTCACCAGAATTTTTATAACTTTTCCTACAAGCTGTTTTATTGTAATAAACCTTTCAATGTTAACATATACCACCGTATATGTACACACATTTGTATGGATAGTTTTAAAATGCAAAATGTCTTTCCACAAAAACAAAGGTGTTATAGTTTTGTGTTAAGATATTTACATAAGTACATATATAGGTGTTGAGTTTTTTTTTTGATTTTATAAAGATGCACATACATACATACAAACTGTACATATGTACTTATAATTTTGAATGCAGTTGCTCACACGTTTTACTTACTTGTATAAGCCCAACGGATTATTTGTATTCTCACAAGAATATGAAAATAATAATGTAATGAAGTTATGAAAAATAACAAGCGTAAGTATGTACTTATCGTGACATTAAAATATTTATGACTGAGGTACATACATATGTATGTGTGTTTTCTTATTTTGTAAATGGCTAAGTGAAAAGGTTAACCTTTCGTAATTGTAGAGTTCAGAAACAAAGTAAACTTTTTGATTTGCATATTTTAATGCATGAATATTTCAGCCTTATTTATATTTTTTTGGCTGGAAACATATTTAATTAATTCCTTGCAAAATTTAACCTGCCAAAATCCTTAGGTTCGACCTACTGCCGCGGCTTTCGTGACTGCCATTAACTGAATATAAAGAATCTATTAAAATAGCCTCCTACACGATTCTGAGACATCGTTCATTATAATCACCGGATTGAGGGCATTATGGTGTCAGTGCCCGACAAGGCTTGCAGCGAGCTTCTAGAGATCTCCATGTCATTTATTCTGGTTTCTAGCCTAATAGTAGGTATGTATGTGTATCCGCACACATTCTGCAACCTTAGACTGAACCCAGGAACACATAAAAAAAAGTTGTACGCATCCCGCGCCTATTTAATAACACTATGCGACAGTCAAAATCGGGATTGGATGAAACCAACGGGAAATGTTATATCGGTCAAAAACAAGTTATACGTGTCCCGGCGTTTCGCTGGGTCACGTCTAGG